GGGATGGGATGGGATGGGATGGGATGGGATGGGATGGGATGACATGCGATTGGATGGGATGGGATGGCATGGCATGGCATGCCATGGGATGTCATGGGATGCGATGGGATGGGATGCGGTGCGATGGGATGGGATGCGGTGCGATGGGATGGGATGCGGTGCGATGGGATGGGATGGCATGGAATGGCATGGATGGATGGATGCATAGACGGATGCATGGATAGATAGATAGTTAGATTTTTTTGGGTATTTTCCTTTCAACCAAGCGGTCACCAACTGAGTAACGCCACTGATTTCTCCGGACGCCGGGTATCCCGCTAGTATGTAATATAATAATATAACATAACATATAGCTGGTATATATAGCTCCTTGGGTCGACCGAGAAAAGTACTTCCATGCGATTACGTCAGGAATTTCTGCTGTGACGTCACACTTCCTACACATCCTGCAACGTGCGCATTCTTCAAAGCCGACCGCGGCACGCACACACCGTGCACTTAATAGGTTTCAAACCCGAGCATAAAGAGAGAGAGAGAGAGCGCGCGCGAGGGAGAGAGAGAGATAGAGCGAGGGAGAGAGAGAGATAGAGCGAGGGAGAGAGAGAGATCGAGAGCGAGAGAGAGAGACACGCTCGCAGGCAGTCATGCGCGAAACATCGCTTGCTTGCACGCGTGTAGGCCTATGTGCGTGCGTGTACGTGTTTGTGTACACGCACGAGAAAATAGACAGCTAGGCTGTGCACACGTTTTGTACCGTGTTGGATATAGCGATTGAAAACGAGAGAATCTCGTTTTCCCGACAGTATAGTAAACGCAGTATGCGTGCGTGAAGGGAATGGTGTTTAAGGTGCGAGATTATACTAGTTTGTAACCACCAAAGTAAATTAAATTTTCATCGTTTTGAAATAAACAAATCCATACCTAAAACGAGCAGATTTCATTTTCACATTTTTATTGCTATTCTCTTGGTTGAGAATGTTTGAGACTATTTGCTCACAGGAAAAGGCCTTTAGCCATCTCAGACTCTCCATGGGAAACTTTAACTGTAATATCTCCGATGTGTTAGTTTCACTTTGCGTCTGATGTTGACCCTTGGCTAGATTCGTAGTAGCCTGTGAGCTTTTCACAATTCCTTGTGATCTTGCACTTCTCAAAACCAGTCAAGGATAATGAGACCGTTTTCCGGATCGATCGTCATGCATGAAAACAAAACACGATACCAATTCTCTGCAATCAAGTGTAGCTTGTGTCGTCTACGGGGAGGCCTCGTTTAACCTGTACAAGTCTTCTAAGTTGCCAGCATGCACGTATGCATGGTAATAAGAAATGTAACCAATCTATCGCATACCGGTGCAATTGTCGACAGCGCTCGTCTGCAGTGTTGTCTGAGCGATTTTCAGATGCGAATGAAATGTGCGCGCTGTCACCGTGCTGACCCGGGCGCGGTGGTTTATTTCTTCGGATTTCGCGAGATAATTCCCATTTCGAAGTTGAAATGTAGGCATTGTGTAACTTCACTCGTCCTGGTTTGATGGATGTGTTCTGGGCGGAGTGGCTCCGCCCCCGGACGCAGAGATGAGGAAGTGTCGAGCGATGAAGCCTGTGGGACATAGACTAACGATATTCCCGATAATGATACCAAACCAATTGGAGTAAAACTATCAAATAAGAAAGTAAGAATTATGATATACTGTTATTTGTCAAATTTCGTTCGCAAGTAAATTTTTTAAATGAATAGAAATCCCTCTCAATCTTCTTTTCATCGACAAATACCGTATCTTTCTATCTATAGATGGTTTCTCTTGTATGACAGTTTACTTGTCCATCTATCTATCATCTATCTATCTATCTATCTATCTATCTATCTATCTATTCCTATTCGCTATCATTATTCTATATATATTATATATATATTATAATAATATAATATATATATACATACATACATACATTACTTTCATCTATCCATTTACATTCCGATCATCAATCTGCCCACTATATATATATATATATATATATATATATATATACATATATATCCGTACGTCTGTCCGTCTGTCGGTTGGCTTGTCGATCGGTTCGTCCGTCAGTACTCTTTAGCATTGGGTTCAGAATTCTTTACTTTCGCCACTATCTTGCTGCCTGCCACCCCTCCTCGCCTCGGAGAATGGCGGTCACCTAATTGCTCGCAAAGTATATTCATAGGCAAGATTATGTAGAAAGCGTTGCTGCTGCGTTCGTGGCTTTCTCTCTCGCCCGGAGACGTCAATGTGAAATGGAACGGACATCACAGAGAAACAGCCAACGATCGCAATTATAGCAAAGCCATCAAGGCTCTTTTTAAATTACGGACTCGTCGATATTTCAATTCATCGCAGGAGTCTCGTTTTTTAGTCGCCCGGCGAAAGTTTAATGCACTTGTGCACATAATAGGTTTAGCTTGGGGGATTCAAAAAACCGGAACTCAATGTTGGCTGTGATTATGAAAACGAATTTCTGCGTTCTCGCCATCTTGCATCGCGGTCGTGTGACAGCCGTATATAGTATAGTACTAATAGTAGTGCACGCATATTTTGTACTGTGATGCGTCTGTTCGCTGGGGGTTAGCTCGACGATGCCCGTTGCACGGTCCTCAAATCAATCTATACGTCGCAGTGACGGTGTGACGTAAAGTGGCGATGCATAGCGGATGTGGTTTATATAGCGGCCAGCGAGAAACTGGATTAGCGGGAACTATATTTGGCGGAAAACCCGTAGTACCAGTCGATTGTCTGTTAAGCGATGCTGGCGTGCCTCATAGGTGATGCAGTCTAATCTGACATTGCTTAAACGCCAAGCTTCTGGCTAGGGCGCTGCTGGCTAGGGCGCGAGGTGCTAGGTGCGACCGTCATTGTCTTAAGTTGTAATCAATTCCGGTCTGCCGCCTTGTTACATGTTTACCGACTACAATAATTACTTACATCAATTAATGATTAGCATAGAATCATAGAATGCAGTTTTTTATCCATTAAAACAACTAAACACGAAACGAGCAAGTAATAGTTGGTCTTTTTTTTCAAAAGATACAATTTTTTGAAAGATGCAATATCAAGGTGATACCACGAGTGCCACAATGTGACAGCACTAATTATATGATTACGTTGTCATGTATAATTGATAGTTCGTGAATGTAATTGATTAAATGATGACTCACTTCCTCATTGTAAACTGTAGCAATATTATTATGGTGGAATAAATGAACATGGCAATTTAACAAAATGGCTTTTCAAATAGTCTTCGTGTCTATATAGTCCTCTATGACTATATCAAGAGGTTAGGGAAGGGCAAAGCCAGCAACCACACTCTACGAAACAACACCATATTATAGAAGCCAAAGCAACAAAATTTCCGAGGCCCAATTACCCACCAGGAGTCGGAATGGAAAATTCTTCTTTCTTTTTTTCTTCTTCTTCTTCCTCTTCTCTTTTTCCTGGTTCTTCCGTTTCCTCTCCAACAATGCTGATCTTCTCCACTCTTCACTAGGTTCATAATTGCAGTCCGTTTTTTGTAGTGCTCCGTGACTTGCGGCAAAGGTCAGAAGTCGCGCTCCGTGCGCTGCCGGGAGGTGAACGGCCAGTACTCAAACATGTGCGACAACAAGAAGCGACCGGCGGGCAAGCAGAGATGCGACACGGGAGCGCCCTGCATCGACGCCGACGGTGAGCGTACAGCGCCGCCTGGCGGCTGAGCCGATTAGGCGTGGCTACCTCGCCAGCCGCTGCCGGCGACACCCGAGCGTTTTTAGATAGAGAGCCGTTCTTGACTTTGTGCACGCCTTGGGTACACTCTCAGCGGTGTCGTAATTGTGTAGAAACGGCGCTCTCACGAGAGAGAGAGAGAGAGAGAGCGGAAGAGAGAGAGAGATATAAAAAAAACTTTCTACGCTCGCTCGCGTTCGATGCGAGCATTCATGGGCGTGCATTTTGGTCGCAAACATTCGCTGAAAGCATCGGATGACGGAGCTCGGTGGGATGTTTTCAGACGTCAATAGATCGCCCGAGAACGGCTGTGTGCGCAATCAATTGCCATGTAGTTGGACTTTCTTGGGTTTCATCGGCGCCGGGTGTCCGGATATCGGCGGGCGGGCTATCGATGGCAGCAGCAGCACAAAATGGCCGAGCTGGTTATTTGCGCGCGACGAGATGTGTCGAGTCAATGACTCGCTGACCTTGCTTAATCGAGAGACATGATAGCTAGGCCGGTTTAATGGGGATGTTGCACTAGCGTGGTCATCGTGTATGTGTGTGTGTGTGTCCCCGCCGCCGGCGGGAACATCTCATTTAGATCCTTGGTTATGCTAGGTTTGCATTATGTTCCCGGCGGCCACGGCAGCCCCGTTTGCCCGAAACGTAGTGCGCCGTGGGATTTTGGCCATTTTTTCTCTGTATTCAAGTCTGTTTCAGGTCTTGCCAAGTTTTCTCACGGTCCATCACGGTATCCGTGAGGGGGGAAGGGGCTGAGTCCCGGGGGCTCCAAGGCGCACTACGGTTCGGCCCGCGGTCTACCACGGATGCCAGTACGTTCCCTCCCGGCCCGTCACGTTCTGATGGGGTCCCTCACGTTTCTCACGTTCTGATCAAGGTCTGACACGTTTTCACGTTCTGTCAAGGCTTTCTACGGATGAAACGTAGACACCGGGCAGCTTTGGAGCACGTTTGTGCCCACGGTATAAAAAGGCCTGAGATTTCGACGAGACAACATCATGAATGCCCGAGATTTTGTGTTTGCATGTTTGCTCGGTGCATACATCCAGTCTTTGCGTCAGCAAGAAGAAGGCCAGCAGCAGCTTGGCCTTCTTTCTTCAAAGCTTGGTCTTCTCTCTTCGTATTGTAGATGCAGTAATGTGTTGTCTATTGAATTCGAATGAAGCTCCCCTGCCTGTCCCGGCTTTTATATACTCCCTCCCAGACCGCGCGCGCCGTGTCAGACCGTAGTAGAACGCAACGCGCCGTAGCGCGCCGGGCCCGTAATACACATGCTTCCCGTCCCACTACGAACCGCCTCCAAGTTTTGTTACGGCCTATTACGTACTGTCACGTTTTGTTGCCTTCACCCAGTTTTACTACGGCCTACTAGGTTTCTCATCCGCACCGTGACTGCCGTGGCAAATTTTCTGACAGTTTAAAAATCTGGCCCGGCATCCACGGCAATCACGGCCTGTCACGTTTGCCCATTCCGTCCCCCCGCGTTGTCTCACGTCCATCCCGTTTTTATTCACGGTGGCCTGAAACGTGATTGCCGTGGCCGCTGGGAACATAATGTAACCCTAGCATTACAAGAGCGCATTAAGTATGCTTAAGCAAGTAGGCATACTTAATACGCTCTTGTTGGTTATCATCGATTATCATTAGAGTGTTGTTAATTGTTGGTAACTGTGAGAAAACGGGTTGCGGCTGACGGAACCTGCTTTATTTTTTCCCGTATTCGAGTGTTAGGATGCGCGGGGACAGTACCATGACCTATGCAGATGTCGGTATACATAGCCATCTGCCTACGCCGACCACCATTCTGTTATGCTTTTCACATTGGATTTAATTAGAATTGAACAGTCTGGGCATGAATTTACATCTTAGCCATCGGCAGATTATAAAAGCTGTCATTCGCAAAAAGTTTTAAAGCTAAATTTATTAGTTTTTCATTTTTGTATGTTTTCCCGTTGCCTGCTAAATTATCCCGCATGACATCAAAAGGGAAGGACGTAGATACATTATATAAGTTGTTGCTAACTCGAATGTCTGAGTGGTAATTCTGACCAGTAACCGAGTAAGCTAAGTGAGGCTTTCATACGGAATAAATGTGGAGACCTAATTGTGATTATATATATATATGCGGTAAATACATCGTACTCGTGCACACGATGGAAACACTATACAACGTACGACTTTGCGTCTTGAGATAGAAAAACATTCGAACACAGAACAACGGGATTCGCCTTGCCACCTCTCCTAGCTGTAACCGAAATCTCAGATGAATGGAAAACGTGTTTCCATGTCACGACCGCCTTCGCGTTTTTTTTACAGATCTGCACCTTCACCAAGTGGAAGCTACGAATCCAGTTCCTCTGCATCAATCTAAGGAGGAGATTGAGTACACAATGCCCACTCACCCCGAACCAAAGTGAGTAATGTCCTTGAAGCCGTGTCGCAGAAATCCGTGTTCTGCCCAAATCCGATTAAATGGACGCAGGTAACATTAAAAGAGGAAATGGCATGTTGCTTGAGCAAACACGTCTCGTATATTCATCTTGTTTAATCATCGTGATTTCATCATTGATTGCCTGATTAAACGTTGGCCAAGAATAGCCATTATGCAGCGATTACCGCTCTTACGGTTGCCCAGTTCCCTGTCCTTCACTTTCGACGGCTATAATTAATCGGGTGGTTTGCATCAGGTGGATGGTGTCAGACTGGGGTCCGTGCACGACCACGTGCGGCCCAGGTGGCGTTCGTATTAGATCTGTCAAGTGCAAGGTGTTTATGGTGCACCTACAGACGTACGTTGAAGTGCCGGAGCCCGAATGCGTAGGTACGTATACGCAGACGCAGTAACTCTTTCTGAACGGCGGCCATTTTGAGTCGCCCAGAATGGCTCGATGGTTAATGTCATTTTGCAGATCAAACACTGTAAAGTCATGTGCCGATCTGCAACAAACAGACGATTCGTCGTCGTGCCGATGTCGTATGAATGCGATAACCTCATTTGGGTCTTGCAATTCGTTCGGGATATTCCCCACTTTCCACCGCGTCACGCTCTGATACTGCCGCTCGTGAATCCCTCATGACTCGTGAAATCTCGCGAGACCGTTGGTTTCTAGCACACGCATAGGTAGTTATCAGCTATTCTAGCCAGATATCGGCATTGCATAGGTAGCTATTAGTTACTCTAGCCAGCTATTGACATTGCATAGGTAGCTATTAGCTACTCTAGCCAGCTATCGACATTGCATAGGTAGCTATTAGCTACTCTAGCCAGCTATCGGCTTTGCATAGGTAGCTATTAGCTACTCTAGCCAGCTATCGGCATTGCAGCGGCGCTGAAACCACCGGAGGTGGAGACATGCAACCCGGGTAACTGCTACAAGGTTCTGCAGGAGGCCGACGAGGAGAAGGGAGATCAGGTGTTAACCGCCAACAGCATGTCGAGTCACACCTACTCTTGGATACACCATCACTTCACGCAGTGTTCCAAGTCCTGTCTCGGAGGTACGCTGTGCTCGCATTGCAGGCTACCGCTCGTACTGTCACCTTTATTAATAGTCATATATAATATATATAAATGTCCTATATTAATAGTCCTATATGATATATATATATATATATATACATGTCCTATATAAGCAGTCCTATATAATATATTTCAATGTCCCATATTAATAGAACGCGCTTCAACCAGTGCCCATACGTAAGCGAAGAATTAGAGGAGACGTACAATGAAGGGGAGGTGTTGAACTGAATTGGTTAAACTAGTTTTAACACCCAAACTGTGCCTGGTGGAATTGAGAAAAATTGTGAATCTAACTTTTTAATAATGCTGGATTTAAGTAGCTGGATAAAGGTTTACAGATTAGTTTCTTTGAAGTTGGCACTCAAATAGTGCTCCCTTGAGCACGAAGATAGATCTTATCAGGTGGAAGGCTGCCACTGATTATTTTCCTAGTAGAGCTGCGTCACCGCCTCGCCCCTAAGTCTATTAATTTGTCCTAACTCATTTTGTCTAAAAATGCTAACCGACACACACCAGTTCTTTTCGTGTTTACCTTTTTATGTACGGAAGTTATCAATTTTCGTTGAGAGGGATTGTTCCTCTATATGAGTTCTAAATGATGTAACTAAATGTATGTAATAAAAGGGAATTCAATACTCAAGACTTACCGAGTATTAACAAGGAAATGAATTAGTATAGTAGGATTTCAAGAAATAGCCCCTTATCTCGGCCAAGATTGTGATAATGGTGTTATATTGTTTCTTTCGAGGTTCTCGGAATTATTATTAACGCGTTATTTATTATTATTATATTATATAACATTTATAATTATTTCCCGATACCGCCTCTTCCATGCTACTCTGGACGCTATGGTATACTAAGCATTGTGTGTCTATGTGAGAGCAGGTGAGAGGCGGTCTGTAGTGCAGTGCACACGCGAGACGGACCAGCAAGTGGTCAGTGACAAGTGGTGTGACCCGCAGAAGAAACCAACTCCTCTCGTTGAGAAGTGCAACACACATTCCTGCCCCCCAAGGTACGGTGCGACATGTGATCTATTTGCGCTCGCTAACAACATCATCTGTGTCAACGTCACGTATCATTATGATCTAGCCGTTGCAAGACGTAGACGTAGGGATATATAAATTGTGAATATAGATAGATCATAGTGGCTATAGTCATAGTGCCTATAGACATATCCATGTGGGTTCCTTAACCAGTAATAATAATATTAATAATATATTATCTTATTAAAGTAATACATTAATTATATTTTTAAGAAGCGATCGCGTTCCAAAAACGCTTAAAAGAAATCATTGGGCACGGTTTTATTACGAAAACGAAATAATATCGCTAGATCACAAATTTGCAAAAATCGTTATACGTTTAATCGTATTTTTACTGCAACTCGTTTACATTCTAATTACTCTACGCTTCTAATTACTTTAATGCGACTAATTACTAATATCGTCTGCAAAGACCGAAGTTCGCGAGTCTGACTGTCTTCTGTCCTTACAGGTGGGAGGCGTCGGAGTGGACGGAGTGCTCGCACTCGTGCGGGGGAGGCATGCAGTCTCGCAGCGTGCGCTGCATACACGAGCAGGGCCAGGGGGACGGTAACAAATTCGTGCTGCCGCATGAGCTGTGCCCCAAACCCATGCCTCAGGAACAGCAGCTATGCAACGCTGAGGATTGCCCACCGTACTGGGCTACGGGCTCCTGGACTCCGGTAAGAACTGATGTTGCTGTACGACGCTGGCGCTGCCGTTGGCGCTGGCGCTGACGCTGGCGTTGCTGTAGCGACGCGTTTTTCGTTGTTGTCTACAAGTTGCTCAGAGGCACGTTTCAGATGTCTCCCGATATATTTAGTTAGGACTGCAGAGCTAATTTGATTATGGAGCAGTTGTATTATACGAAAACAAGTTCGCATGTAAGCGGAACTATTGTGCCAACTTCAACTGGTAATTGTATCCCCCCGCGACGAAGTCGGCGGGGATATTATGGTTTCATGTCTCCCCAGCCGCCGCCGCTGCCGCCGCCGCTGCCGCCGCAGACACTTTCCCTTCTGCTCTATAACTCGACCCCTAATTGACCTAGCGCTACCAAACTTAGTATTTTTACACATCTTGGGGAGAAGGTGTGCAGCGTACCAAAACCAGGTCACTGCGACCTTTATTTGGCCTTTACCTTAACCATCATATTTCCCTTCCGCTCTATAACTCGGCCCCTAATTGACCTAGCGCTTCCAAACTTGGTATACTTACACATCCTGGGGAGAAGGTGTGTCGCGCGTAACAAAACCAGGTCACTGCAATCTTTATTTGACCTTTACCTTGACCTTGATCATATTTCCCTTCCGCTCTATAACTCGGCCCCTAATTGACCTAGCGCTTCCAAACTTGGTATACTTACACATCCTGGGGAGAAGGTGTGTCGCGTACCAAAACCAGGTCACTGCAATCTTTATTTGACCTTTACCTTGACCTTGATCATATTTCCCTTCCGCTCTATAACTCGGCCCCTAATTGACCTAGCGCTTCCAAACTTGGTATACTTACACATCCTGGGGAGAAGGTGTGTCGCGCGTAACAAAACCAGGTCACTGCAATCTTTATTTGACCTTTACCTTGACCTTGATCATATTTCCCTTCTGCTCTATAACTCGGCCCCTCATTGACCTAGCGCTACCAAACTTGCTATACTTACACATCTTGGGGAGAAGGTGCGCAGCATTCCAAAACCAGGTCACTACGACCTTTATTTGACCTTTACCTTGACCTTGATCATATTTCCCTTCCGCTCTATAACTCGGCCCTTAATTGACCTAGCGCTACCAAAACCAGTTCACTACGACCTTTATTTGACCTTTACCTTGACCTTGATCATATTTCCCTTCCGCTCTATAACTCGGCCCCTAATTGACCTAGCGCTTCCAAACTTGGTATACTTGCACATCTTGGGGAGAAGGTGTGCAGCGTACCAAAACCCCTAAGGCAACCAATTTTAACATACTTGCACATCTCAGGCAGATGAGTTATGTAACAAACCTTTGTCTTTGTGACTTATTTAACTTTACCTACCTTCTACGTCCTTACAGAGATATTTCATTTATACTTAACTAGATTACGGGGGATACATGTAGTTGGTGACAACTGCTTTTTCTAGTTTTATTGCCAGTTTGGTTCGCGTTACGCTTATGACCTCCAAACATTATGTGGTGAAATCAACAATTCTTGAAAGGGTTTACTCTTGTGCTCTTCTCGTCTCTTCTCGTTCGGGTTTAATCTTGTGACTCTACGATGGATCTACAGTCTACTTTTTCCCTCCGCCAAGGAGGTTATGTTTTCGCCCCTGTTCGTTTGTTACCTCCGCCAAGAAGGTTATGTTTTCGCCCCTGTTCGTTTGTTGCCTCTGCAAGTAGATACTCTGCCAAGGGGGTTATGTTTTCGCCCCTGTTAGTTTGTTGGTTTGTTTGTTTGTCTGTCAACAGGATATCTCAAAAAGGTACGGATGGATTTTGATGATTTTTTTTGGACGGGTTGGTCTTGGGCCAAAAACCAATCGATTACATTTTGGTGGTGATCCGGATCCAGATCTGGATCCAGGATTTTTTGTGGGAAGATTTCGACGCATTCAAAATTCATCAAAAAAATCCTGGTTTTTTTCTCTCCAAAATTTCTGAAAATTTCATCAAACTCTATATTGGATATACCACTGGCGCATACACTGTTACGCTATGGCAGAGGTTTGCTATCTCCGATTGCCGGTCATAGTGAAACGTGAAGGACAATCGATTCAAGAGTCCATGCGTGTAATGGATTCTTGTGATCTCTCAGGGTTAGAGTAGGGCCTAATGTATTCGCTATTTTGTTATCTAGGAATACAGGATCGCGCTAGGACCTTGACGCTATATGCGTAAGCATTGCTTTCGGAAACACTCGGAAGCAAACACAACAATAATACTATTGAATAAATCATGCCTTGAAGAATCCAAAGAGATGATTTTGGCTTTCAATCACTTCAGATATTGGAAAATCATTGCGAGGCACAAACAGTACTTTTGATTAAATTTCCCTACTAACTGCCTCCACTTGGTCAATAAATATTTGTTAATCTTCTCGAGGGCCTTATCTCGTTGCCATAGTTACTGAATTGAATTTCAACTATGTGTTCTGCGGAATTGTTCTGATAAGGTTTGCATGCTCCTTAATGGGATTACAAGTTGTTCGACATTTTTTGTTTGTATAAAGTTTGCCGAAATCACGTGATCTCAATGCACTTTGTTCAGTGGCCGCTGTCAAAGTAGACACTAGCTGTTCGAATAGTTATGTGCGCGCATATCCTGGACAGACATACACAACACCATGAGTAACGGGCGCTTTTTTTCCCTCATATAAACTTCACACAGTGCCGACAAAATTGCATTTCTTGGAATTCGCGTGAACAATTCTTTCGGCGAAAAAACCAGTGCGTTCGTCCTTCCGACTTTCGGAGCTATTGGCGATTCGTGTTTCAACGCCGAAAAAACCGTCCACGGCTAGCCGACCACGAGAAGAATGGAGACGTTCACTTAATTGGAAAAGCCGCTAGGCGCTGTGTGGACGACGCCGATGTGCGCCATCTCACCACGTTACACTGCAGCAGCCCATTGATCGGGCAAGCATTCACTGCTTCCTTCCTGAAACTTGTCGACGGTTCGTAATTTCATAACGTCATGCACGCGGGATGCTGAGCTTGCTTTGTCCGCCGCTGGGCGCTTTGACGCGGATGCGTTTGTTCGTGGCGCGAAGGGAAGATCTTTAAATACCATACAGAGATGAGTATATTTACGTTACGTACCCCTACATACACGCACGCACGCACGCACGCACGCACGCACGCACGCACGCACGCACACGAACAGAGCTGCGCGGATATATTTATAGCCGGCATTCACGCAGCATATATATATATATATATATATATTTAGGTAAAATCTAGAAAACGAATAATCATGACATGTATACTATATGTTTTCTATTATCATTTTGCGAATCCGTATGAATCCGCAATGGGATTCACAAGAAATTGCGGCATATGTGCGGAGTAACGGATATCCTCAAATAAAGCGTGCAGTGTGCGTAAAAGCGATCGCGCAATAAGTATGTTTACTATAGCACGACCCCACTTCCACGAGCAGTAAAATGGCCAGAAATACTATGCTATAAACTCGACGCGTGCAGCCCATAATTGTGGTGGGCACTCGCTCGTAAAGAATCCAGCAATAAATGTAGTGCGGCCAAAATATTCCCGTTTTCCGAATGCCGGCCTAAGAGTATTTTACCGATTCCTTGCCCGGCTACGCTGCGACCCTGCTGCGATGTGACTGAAATTCGACAACCCTCGTGTGTAGCAATGGTATGTGACGGGAGGTATTTACAATAGCGGCGAAAATTGAGGCGCGATTCATGCGACGCGTCTGGATCCAGGATTTGTTTTTCTTGTGGGGAAGACTTCAAAATTCATTAAAAAAAATCCTGGATCTTTTTTCTTTTTTTTCAAATTTTTGAAAATGTCATCAAACTGTATATTGGGTGTACCAGCAAAATGGGGGGACTGTTACGCTGTCGCGGAGGTTTGCTATCTCTGATTGCTCCTGTTTGAAATTTACTCGGTCAACTCTTTCAACAACGCGACTGAATCTATTTCGTGGGTACCTTCCCAATGTTCGTCGATTTATTGACAGGCGTTGAAATACGCTGTCATAATTGGTGGACATCCGAAGTTCATCCGAAACTATAAGCATGGCTCTCTCGCTGTGTATACAAGTTTAAGTGCTTTCTTGTATAATTGGACTGCCCATCTCAATCGGGAACTTGGCCAGTCGGAAAAGCGCTGTATGCGATTGCGTTAGATTCGCTCTCGTTTTTATCGTAATAAAGACCGACGCAGCATTTAAACCCAGCGACGATCGATCGACGGTGGCGACTTACAGCGGTCGCTTGAAGTCGCTGAAAAGCTGTGGCGGAGTGGCGAACGGGCCCGTCACCAACAATTACGTCATTACGGGCGGCGTGGCGGCGCATGTCTGGCTGTATAGACGCTGCGATGTCGCACGACGCAGCATTTTACACGGGACATGTTTCATACAGATGTTTGCGTACAACACCGCAGTGTCCACCGTTGGGCTTTGTACGTACGTAATGAGGAGCAGGCGCCTAAAGATGTCTATTATTATTGTCTGATTATTATTATTATTATTTCCAAAGTGGATCACGGCATTAGCCGGTGGCTTCTGGGTTGGCCGTGTCCCATTATTATTATTATTATTATTATTATTATTATTATTATTAGTTCCAAAGTGGATATAAATTAACATCTTTAACGTCTTTTTAACGGCTTTTTAATTAACGACTTTTTTTAACTGTCGCTTCTCGAACGAGCCCGGCTAGGCAACTGCGTGGTGCATATCTGCTGTTCGGCGCTGTCTGGATTATGCACACCGTGTATACATGGCCGTAGCCTGTGGGGGGGGCAAGGGGGCATCTGCCCCCTTGATTTTGGAGCATAATTAAAAAATAAGCTTAGCTAATAATCGTAAATAACCGATAACGTTATTTTTTGGTCACTTATCCGTGAAAGACTCGTCGCAGAACCACCCCCACCACACTATGTGCGTCGATCAAGAGCTGCGCCCGTCGCTCATCATTACACAGTTGAGTCGTGAAATTTAGCCCCTGCTAGGAACTT